TCCTCCATAGTCATGATTACCCAGGGCTCCTCGATGGAGATGATGGTCTGGCCAGGGTGAAAGGAGTTTTGAACACCCAAAATACAATACAAACACAAAGCTGCCTTGGGAATAAATGTGAATTTCACTTTACCCAGCAGTGGCGGGTCTGCCTAGGAAAGAATGATCTTATTTCCGGCTTGTTCCTTAGGGTCTCCACAGAGCTGCGCTATCGAAAACAGCCCTGGGGGTTAGTGAAAACCTTCATTGAGAAGAATTTCTGGAGCGGGCTGGAGGACTACTTCCGCCATTTAGGTGAGTGCTACCGTCACTCACTGCTGGGTGAGCTGCAGAAACAGGGTGAACTGTATCACTATCGTGCGGGGGAATGGAAAATGGACCGTGAAGGGAGAGACAGAGACAGTGAAGTGACTACATGGGGCCCCTAAATGTGCCCCAAAATGGATACCAATTTAATGTGTATGTGGATGTGTGCATTTTTCCAAAGGCTATCTATAGCCTTATGAGATAATTAATACCCACCTCCATGCACCTTTAGTGACACCTGAGGTGTTGATAATTTTTTGAGCGGTATCTATGAATCATTTGTGAATGTGTCTATTATAAAAGTAGGTGATATCCTCAAATCTGTATCTGTATCTAATACAAATGTGCAAATATTGGCACACATAGCTGTATACAATTTTGAACCCAGAGGAGGCGTTTAGCAGGCCTGGGCCCCAGAATAACTTTGTACAGATCCCTAAGGGTCATCTGCCTAGCTGGCCATCTCCCTAGGGCACAGAATAGAAAAATTGTTCCTGTAGAACTTCTGGAGGCCGTTGTGTTGGGTTGAAGGTATGGGATGATGGCCTCTCTTACGGCCCTTCTGTCTCTGACAGAGAGTGAGCTCACCAAAACGGAGAGCACCTACCTGGCTGAGATGCACAGGCAGTCTCCCAAGGAGAAGGCCAGCAAGCCTCCAACTGTGCGGAGGAGAAAGCGGCCCCATGCCCACCTACGGGTGCCTCACCTGGAAGAGGTGATGAGCCCTGTCACCACACCCACTGATGAAGATGTGGGCCACCGGATCAAGCATGTGGCAGGTGTGTTCCAGGTGGAGACGGGTGGTACGGACTGGGGCTTTGGTCTGGCTGGAGTCGTATGCCCATGCCATGGCACGTATTCATGCTCATTCTCTGCCCAGGGGTACAAGTTTTACATAACTTGAACATAACTTACTAAATCTGAAGTTCTTGCTGCTCTGTTTCCCTTTGCCCTTTAAGTTCCTTGGCCTCTCCTGAACCCTTCTGTGTTCTGCTTCACAAAGGTCTCTTCTGGATTTCTGTCACCTAAGCTTTACACTGCCTGCATCGGCTCCCGTACGCAGCATCCATGTTCTAGGGAAATGACGCTAAGGTGAAGCTAAAACCCACAACCCAGGGATTAATGTATAACCCAAAGATCAGGGAGTCTAAAGCAATCCCTGGTCCCTTGGTCCCCACAAACCCAGCAAGAGGTCTTTCTTCCTCTTCCCACCCAGCCACACAGCCACAGGTCTCATGTCAGTCATGGGATTCTGGGGCTGTGAGGGGTCTAGAGGTTGACAAATCCATACTTTACAGACTGTCCTCTGCACACTGCTGTGAGTTCATCAGAACTGCATGGGGACAAGGAGGAGGCAGATGAAGGGGAGGATAGTGGCAGGCTTCTGGGTCCTGCTTCCCCACCTCGACCAGAGCACTGCCCTGTTGGGTGTTTCACCCATGCAATTTCTGACTGATATTGCATTTAAGTAAACTGATTCTTGGAGAGGTTTTGTGACTTGCTGGACCTTATGTGGCTGATTCTGGAGAAAGCTAGGCCCGGAAGCCAGATGTTTCTAGTCCTAGCCCTGGACCCTTCCCCTTCCTTTAGCAAAGCTCAAGAATAGCTATGTAGCGATTCTAGCTACACAGGTCTGTTCAGTTTCTCATTTGTTCAGGATTACCTGACTCTGCCATGACCTCTTCCCTTGGAGAGTTTGCCTGCTCCTGTTGCAGCGTCGGGGCATCAATCATAGCGTTGCTGCTTGAGCAGTGTCAGCAGTTAATGGACTTGTGGGCCATGACAGTGACATGTTTATTCCCCGACAGGTTCCACGCAGACGAGGCATATCCCTGAGGACACTCCGAATGGTTTCCATTTGCAGAGCGTGTCCAAGCTGCTGCTGGTTATCAGCTGTGTGTAAGGAACTCTTGTCTCTCAGCCCACCCCTGCCCCAACACCTTGCCTTTCCTGCTTGGTGCAGGAACGTTGTCCCCCACCCCTCAAAGTATGTGGAAGCGCTCCTTTACACTTTTCCCTTTCTTATTTTGTCCTCCATTTCTCTCTGTCTGATCCATTGCTGTCTGTCATTTCTTACCTCTTTCTTCTTTTTTTCTGTTTTACTCAGCATTTATGGTATGCTGGCTTTGAGAAAAAAATGCCATACACAGCATCCACACCCTTTCGGAACTCAATACCAAGTGGGTGAGAGGAACAGGACATTCAAAATTCCCACACAGTGGGATAGATAACACTGACACAGACACTGCGGAACATTTTAGGAGCCTGGTCATTTGCGAGACATTTTGGGTGTTTGTTCAGAGCCAGGCACTAGAACCATGAACTCGTGGAGCCCACACTTTGGCAGGGTCACTAGATGAAATTGGTGACTGTAGTCTAGGACATTTAGGTCCTTATTTTAATGTAGATGATATGTAACTCTACAACATCATAAATAATAATTTGCACAAAACGTTACCAAGCTAGGGAGATGGGAAGTCAAAAGAAATGCAGATATACGATAGGAGGTCACAGCTGGTTTTCTGATATGTAAGTTCATGCCAGTGCTTGCCCAGAACTTTTATGAACCGTACTGAGTAGGCAGCAGCTAGGACAGCTAAGAGCAGCAGTTCCACTTGGCTCTGCCCGCTGCCTGACATCCCACCCTTCCTAGTAGCTGCCCAGACACGGTCTCTCCCTGCTGCACACCAGGCATCAGGCTGTCTCTAGTTCTGTGCTATCTTATGTCCATGACCTCTTAGTCCTCCCTGAAGCATTTGCGGAGAAGCAGAGCCAGGGGCACAGCCGTACCCTCAGGAAACTCTGGAGGAAGCCCGCGAGTGATGTGGTCAGACTTGCATTATGATAATATTGCAAATGGACTGGAGAAAAAAGCCTGGAGGCAGGGAGGTCCATCAGAGCCAACCACAGTGGTCTCAGGGAGAGTGGCTGTCAGACTGAGTGAGGGAATGGAACTGAGAGGTCCCAGAAGGGGAAGACTCATGAGCCAGTTGGTTATGCCACAAAGGAAGTGAGCTTCTGCTCTGAGGGACTGTGGGTGGTGGTGTCCTTAACAGAAACTTGAGATGTAGTGGGAAGTTGTTAGAGAACACACGGTCAGCTCCAGGAGTGTCTGAATTGCTGTAGGTTGTGCAGGGGGAGGTGATGGGAATTTGTTGTTGTGGACCCGTTACTTTGGAGCCATACTAACTATCCACGGTGCTAAAGCCATGGGTGTTAATGGACTAGTGTACAGAATGTGACAGGGCCAGGGCCAGAGATGACCCTAGGGATCTCCTTAGAGGGGAAAATCCTCGAAGGAGCAACAGGAATCTTACTAACTTTACTAGAAGCATAACATAAAAGTAGATTTGAATTTTTGTAGATTCACATTTTTCCTGATCATAGCACTAGAAATCAAGATATTACAGTATTATAACACTAATTAGTACAAAGACAGCTATAGAATCAGCAAGACTCACATTTTGCAACAACAATTTAATGTGATTCATTGCATTGTTCTGTTACAACTGCATCTGGTATTGGATTTTGGTAAATAGAAAACTTTAACTTCTGGTCGGCTCTGTTTAAGCGCGTTGCATTGTGACATAACTAAATCTTAAAGCACAGTGTCAGACAGCTATGAGGCTTTGTTAGTGTAGGATAAGCAGACTTTCCAGTTCTGCACACTAGAGCCAGCCAGTGCCAACAAATGGGCACAGCACTGTTTGGCCAGGGTCTGGCAGGCTCTCGCCACCATCCACCTGCAGGGTGGTGATTTAATGTCCCACTTCTTTTCTGTCACAGCACCCAGGGGTGTCCCTTGGCCTCCTCCTAGCATGGTCAGGGCTGTGAACATAAACCCAGGTGTGGGCACAATGTGCTGAAGAGGTGGGCATTCAGATAATCCGCTGCATGTGGATATAGTTCAGGACACTCTCACTGAAATTCAACACAAACTTCAGAGAAGCGCTATGGAGAACTCAGAAAAGCCCCAGGGATTTGTGACTGCCAGCTAAAGCAAGACACCCTTCCACAGTCCTAGAAACATGAACCAAAAAAATCACTCTCATACACACGCTTTGAAAAGTCTCAGGCTCAGTAAAAGCTTTCTTCCCCCTTACTCATCTTTTTCTCCCCCTACCTGTTCATTTCACCTTCCTATTTTCGTCATCTTCTTCCTTCCTATGTGTATCTCTCCCTCTCCTCTGTGGCTGGCCTACTCTACACCAGAGTGTCTTACCTCTGCCCTCCTTATCCACAGACCCACCTCAGTAGGGTAAGGGTTGTGTCCTTGTTGAGAAGACTGGGTTTCAGAGAAGCTAGGAAACTTGATCCAAAGTTAAGACATTAAGCAACGAGCCTGGATTTGGGCCGGTTTTGTGTCTCTGGATCCTCTCTTCGCCCCTTGTTGTATGTCTCCATCCCACACCTACTCTGTGTTCTCCACTCCCCCCTGGGTCCGCCGGCCCCTGGGCCCTCCTTGTTCTTCTGTCTCCAGTACATTCTGCTCAGACTCTGGGAGGCCTCAGCTGGTCCCTGTGACCCCTGATAGACAGGGGCAGGGGCAGGGGCAGATTCAGGGAGGGGCCTTCGCAGCTTAAGGGGAGTTCTGCCAGCAGATCTAGGGAATCCCACCGAGTCTTCCCTGCTGCCATCAAGTTGACCCGGAAATCTCCATGAAACCCTAAGAGTGAATCCACTTCACTTCCTCTCGTTCCATCCTTGCCAGGTCTCCCCATTCACTGTGGCTTTGCTGTTAGTATTTCTTATATGCTCACTTGCTCTCTGGCTCAATTTAAGTGCAATTTTCCCCTTTCCCATGTTCTTGTTTCTAACCTCTGCCTCCTCCCCATTTTTCTTCCTTGCTCCCATTAGGATCTGTTTCAGGTACTGGCTCTGACTCACCCCCCAGTTATGTTTCCTCGCCCCTTAACCTCCTTTGCTTCGCACCTGGATTTCAGGTGTCTTTGTGTCTCCACTGTCAATGCCTCCACCCACACTGCTCTCCATGGCTCTCCCGCTGTGTCCTCCGCCCCTCGGGAGATGAGGCAGTTTCTCTCTGCCCCTCCCTTCATCCCTTCAGCTCATTCATTCCCTCACTGCAATGCTTCAGGATGGCCCCGTGGGCGGGCACAGCAGCCTGTGGGGTGGGGAGATCCCTGGCTCAGATTCCATCTCATCGCTGCTGCTTTTTTTCTGCATCTCTCCTAGTCTGGTGCTGCTGGTCATCCTTAACATGATGCTCTTCTACAAGCTCTGGATGTTGGAATACACCACCCAGACCCTCACCGCCTGGCAGGGCCTGAGGCTCCAAGAAAGGTAATCCTGGCCACACCTGGTACCTGTATCACATCCACCTGTACCCCACCAAGTGCTGAGCCCTGACTTCTGCCTCACCTGGGACTGCCCCACCCCCCTTGCCCAGGGGATAGCCCTTTAGATGAGCTCTTAGGCAAGCTCCAAAACTCTGTCCCTAAAAAACAAAACAAAACAAAAAAACTCTGTCCCTATAGTTTCTATCCACTTCTTATTTGGGTGTGGGAGTCCCAGGGGCAGTGGGCAGAGGTCAAAGCACTCTGATGTGACTCTCTGTCCTTTAGGGGTCTGGGAGCACAGGACAGTCCGCTGAGCATAACTCCAGCTGCTGGGGTGCCCCTTCTTCTGCCCCACAGGTTACCCCAGTCTCAGACAGAATGGGCCCAGCTCTTAGAGTCGCAACAAAAGTACCACGATACTGAGCTCCAAAAGTGGAGGGAGATCATCAAATCCTCAGTGATGCTCCTTGATCAGGTGAGATGCCCCATCCTCTCAGCCTCCCCCAGTTTTCAGGAGATAGAGCACCCCTTAACTCCCAGAGAGGTCCCTCATCTCTGTCACCACCCTCTCCTGCAGCCCTCCTTCCATGCATTCTTCTCCCAGACAGTCCATTGTTCTGATTTTCAAGCCATTTTTGAACGGGCAGTCAGAAACATAGGTGCCTTCCCTAACATAATGACAGTACATTGGGTTTGCAGCAGAAAAGCTGTAGCTTAGAGAAATAAGAACTTGCCCCCCACCACTTATGGTCACCCGCAAGGGCAGCTCACTGACTGGATGACTACATTATGTCTTTGTTTTATAGCATTGTCTTTGTAATATGGTTGCCTGTTTTCTTCTAAAGGCCATATTTAAGACAGTTATCCCAGGGCACAAATCCAAAATTAGCTCAGTTTCCTGGAGAAAGAGAGCTTTCTTCTTTCCTATAGAAAAATGGAATATTTTATAAAAAGTGCCCCCATATGTTTGCCAAGGCCATGGGAAATTCCTTTCCTCTGCAAAATAATTAAGAGACTCAGAACTTGTCCCCTCAAATTGAAATTTCCATTCCAAAAGAGGTGTTATTCTGATGTTACCTAGTTGGCTAGAATTGAGATAGAACCCCCACTTTGCTACTAAATAGTTTTGTGACCTTGACGAAAGGGGTGTCATATTAGTGAGCTTCAGTTTCCTCATTGTGATACTAGCTTCTTGGAACAACAGTCAGAACTGAAGGCTGTCATAGTTTGGTTTTGAGCTGTGAACCAGAGAGAGTCTTAATGCAGTATCATATTTGGCGTTGGAGCTACTTTTAAGAAGAGCATTTCATTTGTTTGTTTTTGAGATAGAGTTGTAGGAAAGATGAAAGCTCTCTTCCTCAGGGAAACTGAGCTAATTATTGATTTGTACCTGGGGTAATTGTCTTAAATACGGTTTCTATTGTTCAAACTGGCCTTGAACTCACTATGGAGCCCAGGCTGGCCTCACACTGTTCCTACTGCCTCAGCCTCCCAAGTGCTGGGATCATAGGTGTGTGCCACCACGCCTGGCTCAAGGAGGGCAAGTCTGTAACCAAAAGAAGGTAAACAGCGCAGCAGAGTTTGAATGCCCCTTGTATTAAGAAAGTTGATGGAGAAGGGGGCCTGGGGCAAAGCGAAAGGATGGATGGTTCCAGACACTGAGGCCAACAGTCTAGAGGACTGAACTAGGGCTAGGAATTAAATTAAAATTCAAGCCAGCCAATAAAAACAGATGCCTTGTGGTTAGAGCTGCACAGCAGTACAACAGGCCACTCTTGGAAGACTGAGAATCTCACATTAAAAGTGTTCAGGAATCACAAGATGGTACTGAACAAGAAACTTGCAAATTAAAGGAGGGCCACTTCAGTCTGATACCCCAGAGGTCTCTTCCTACTCCAGAGTTATGTCTCAAAGTGGGTCCCCTTAAAGAGGGGTTTAGGGCAGTCAGGTTTTTAGCCTGATGGACTCTGCCCTACAACAGTTGAAAGATGCTTAGTTTACTTCCCTTTAAAAATAAGTTTTAAAAGAACAATAAAGAATGTGGGAAATTTGGAGAGAGACAACATCAGATGTTCCAAGAATCCATACCCTTTAGAGGAAATGTTGTCTTCTGTTACAACAGAGTGGCTTACTGAGACAATATTTAAATATGCTATGGTATGATGGGCCACTTTATGATTCTCCAACTGAAATTGTTCCTTAGACTCCATTCCGTGGCCTAGAAATGTTAATTCACGGATGAGTCCCAGCAAGAAGGCTGCACAGCTATCTGCATGGCGATCTTGGCTATGTTAGGGACCGTTCAGTCTCCAAACACATAAAGATGACTGCAGTCCTGAGTGTTTATGTACGAGAGGCCAGGAGGGAGAAGATTGAGAGCCAGAGGAAGTCTGGATTTGCCCTGGGTCTTTACAGATGGGTGAGATTTGAGTGAGCAACAGTGAAGATTCCCAGGCTGGGAGAACAGGGTGACAAAATGCATAAAGACAGGCAGAGAGTATATTCAGGACCAATAGGATACCAGACTGATTTTATGAGTTATGTAAGTAGCAGTCTCATGTGGTTCCTTACGGCACTTGAATGTGTAGAGTTCTCAATTCATTCATATAAAGGCCCCACATCACCAAGACATAGCAAACCTTACCTGAGGGATTTCTGGTGCTGGCTGTGCTGTCCCTTTCCTGCCTGAGGCTGTGCCTGCAGGAACCATCCTGGCGTCCTTTCGCTCACTGGCATGGTTGGAACCAGCCACAGCAGCAGGATGTAGCAGGTGCTACTGTGGGAAGACGCCCACTAAGAGCACAAACCTGGGCCTGGGACGGGGTTCCCTGTCTTACAGATGAAAGACTCGCTCATAAATCTTCAGAACGGCATCAGGTCCCGTGACTACACATCGGAAAATGACGAGAAGCGGAACCGATATCATTGACAAGGCAGGAACAGAGGTGGCTGCAGGAGGCCGGTGCAATACATGTACATAGACCCTATAAATATATATATATAAATATATAGAGAGAATATAAATATATATATTATATACAGATTTTAAAAAGAGATAATGCCTACATACCAGGGAGAAGGAGCGGGACCTCCCGCCCCTGTGCCAGCTGGAGCAGCGGTTCCCCTCCGTGGAGGGGCCGAGGAGGGCAGGGAGCAGCTCTCAGCACCGACATCCCTTGATCCTCCTCCTCCCATCCTCTGCTCCTCACCCTTTCCCTTGCTGGCCATTCTTGGCTCTCAGAAGGGAAATGTTGCTGAGCCAAAGCTATGCCTGGGAAGACCCTCAGGTCTTGAAAGAAGTCTCACGGGGGCATTGCTTAAGGTGCTTCATTCCCTAATCCCCATTCAGTTTATTTCCAAAATAAAGAAGAATCTGTTCTTCCCTAGCCTGAGCTTCCCCAGGCGTTCTCTCAGACAGCAAGAGCCTGATCTCAGCTCTCCCCCAGGAGGCCACTGATACGGACCGGACTGTGCCGAGAGCTGGGTGGGGAGGGCTAGGAGAAGCTAGCAAGGTGGCTTCGGTGAGCTTGGGCTTTGGAGCTGCGGGCTCCACTTGTGTTCTGAAAGGTTTCCCCTTGATCACCCCTGCACCTTGCTCTGACCTGGGTAGGACATGGACCCAATAAGGGCTGGGAATTTCTAACTTGCCCACCTCCTTTCTCTCTGGTCTTCGCCCAGGCTGGATCTGGGCGAAGTGTCACTTTTTAGTGCCTAAAGTCCTATTATTTCTTTGTGCCCTAAGAGCACATTGTTTATTAGCCAGGATGGAGCATTTTTGACCTTGTTAAACCCCTTTTTGTGGTTATGAACAAGTCAGATCTATGGCTCTAATTCCTTCAGTTTGAGCTATGTATGAATTTGATTTCCAGGATGAATCAGGGTGTCTTAGGCCCTGCAGGCTTTTAGAGAGAGAGAGGTCTCTGGCCAGTATGGATTGCAGGATCTGCCTCAAAACGAGTTTCAGTCAGTGGGGAGAACTGTCTGAGACACTGTGCTTGTGGGAAAACATCTGAGCCAGTGGAGAGGAGGATTTGGTATAGATGTGTGTGTTTGGGCAGAAAATGACCAGAGGGGACGTCCGCCCCACGTGGCCATTTCATTGCTGATCATCTCAAGTTTGGGTGTAGGGGTTAGGTTGCAGGGTTGAGCACATCCTTCTCTGACCTCTGCTCCGTAGAGGTATGAGGTCACTGAGGAGCACAAAGAAGATGCCGGGCTAAGGGCCAGAGCCCGCCTGGACCTTTTTAGAGTTGGTCTACTAGGACTCATGCTTTTATCTGATCTCATGGGGCCCTTCTGGGCATGTTCCCTACCCTTCAGACACCACCCTTTCTCCATATGCTGACCAAAGGAGGCTGGCTAGCCCCAGACAGAGGTCAGGCGATCTATGGTCAGTGAAGGCAAGGAAAGCTTTCAGAGGTTCTTCATATGAGGGGTAGAAGAGAACCCCAAGGTGTCCCAGAACAGCAGCACAAAGGATGGAAGCTTTTCATCAGTGATCTACCCCATGAAAAAGTTACAATCTCTCCTTAGGATGACTTAACATCCTATTTTGGAAGTTAGAGCAAAGCTTTTTGACTTTTCAGTCTATCCAAGAATAAGGCCTTGGCTTTTCCGATCAGAAAACAGAAGGATGAACACCTAGGTCACCTCTGAGGCAGAACGATGAGAAGTCTGTCATTAATTGTTGAGTCAGCCAGTACTGATATCCCTCCCAGAGAAGCCGGGTTGAGGCTCTGGCTCAGGGTAATGCTTTCGAAGGGCGCATTTGCCCTGAGACCGGCAGTCTCTCAGTTCTTGACCAGGACTTTGAGGAAGAGGCACTGGCGAGGGTTGAGACCCATGAGCCTTAAGGCAGGGAAGGAAGCATGGTACAGACTGCTAGACATTTGCCCCTTAGAGTAGCCAGAAGCTAAAATTATTCCCTGAAACTTCTGAGAGCAGAAATTGTAAAATCTCAAAAATCATTCACTCAAGTTATTTAATTATGAAAGGTGTCACAGACCCTTTAGGAAGACTTAGAAGTTGGCTGCTGGGAGTGAAGTGACAGAAGAAGCCTTGGTCACCAAGGGGTGCACTCTGTTGCCCCTCTCTCAGGACCACTTGGTGGAGCAGTAGGTGACAGAGAGGAGGTACTTATTCAAGGCACCCTCCTGTTTCCTGCTGATTTGGACCCAGAGACAATATGTACATATGAGGAATGTCCCCTAAGAATCATGGATCCTTCCTGATCTCTCTCTGATCTAATAATTGTTTGGGCTTTTAAGCCAGAAGGAGACCAACAACTCTTTTCATTCCCTACCAAAGTATGATTCCCCTTCGTCAATAACTTGTGAAAGAAGACAAAACTCACCCTTGTGGACAAGTCTGGGAGTGAGACACACACAGGGCACCGTGAGCCGTGGCTAGTAGCCCGGTGTGTAGCCGTCTGCGAGAAAGCAGCAAAGCTACTGCTTCTTGTGTTACTTCTTCCAGCCAGTATGTTTTGTTTTTGTTGACATGGGAACATTGGAATCACATGGATGTTTATCTGCAAGGATTCATGTGGTGACACACATGAGACTTTGTACTTAACTCTGAAGAGTTTGCAGTTTCAAACCAGGGGAAGCACAACTACAGGGTCTACCCTTCCCCTCCAGCTTACCGTGACCAGATTGGCCTCAGACAAGCTAGTCATATCTGCAACTCTGCCCCTTTCCTGTCTGCCTCCCCTGAACAAGGGGCCAACATCCCAGTCCAGCAAGTTTAGTTTCTTGACACTCAAAAAGAGCCCTGAACCTAAAGTCAGGAGACTGGGCCTGAGTCATTCCTCAGTGCAGAGCTCCTGTACATGCCTATAACAGGAGGAAGCTGGAGTAGACCATCTGTAGGGCAGTTTCTAGCTTTGGCTTTGACTGGAGACTGGGCTAGAGCCAGCAAGACTGGGTTTCTCCAGAATTGGAAGGTTCCCTGGCAGGAGGGGATGGTCTTCCAGGCTAGAGCTTCTCTGGTGGGTAGTAGGCAGTAGGGCACTGTGTGGATTCCCAAGAAACTTCGTGTGGTTAGACTTTGTTCTCAAGGTCGAGGAGGGATAGGAGGCCCAGTGGCAGAAAGACCACTGCTCAGTATTAACCTAGGAGTGTTTCTTCCTTCTTTGGCCTAGTTTTTGTTTGGGAAAGGAACTTCTTCTAACCGAGGAGGAGGAGTAGAATGATGGCAAGAGAAGCGGAGTCTTGCACTGAGCTATCTTCTGTCTCTAGGCACCGCGAAGCCTTCCATCTATCCAGCCTTGCTCCTCAACAGAGGACACAGGGAAGAGAAGCCACTTCCTATTTTAGCACTTCTCTTTTTGGTTCAACCAAAACCCTGCTGGGGTTTAGCTAAAGTCCTCGGGTTGCCTAAGGGCACTGACACTAAGAACCTGGGATTATAAGGAGTAGGGAGGCCTTAAGAGGAATCCTTTGCTAGGAGTGGATCCTCTCCACATCCTGTCTCTGTCCTGGCCCCAAACTTGGACTATTCCTGTGGTATTTGCAGCATATCTAGGGTGAGGTCTTGGAGAAATGACTAGGGGCAGAATCTTTCTGGACAGTTTGTGGTCCCAGAAAGGTCCTTTGTGTGCCATATCATACCACTTCTTTAGCTCTGCAGGGCAGCCAAAGCCAGCTCATTCCTGCTAGGGCCTCCAGGAGAAATAGCACTCTTCATTCTTCCCCTCTGTGGCGGGGCTGTGGTCCCTATCCCTGAACCCCTGGATTCCACCTCTGCATTCCAGTAAGATTTGTAAAGACCTCTTCCTGCCTCCCTTCCTCCTCGCCCCTAGTCTCTAGGCTGTTGGACAATCATCCCATTCATCTCTGGACATCCTCGACCCTTCTTCCCTCAGTCTCCAGCAGGCTGGCCCCACTCCCTCTCACCTCTATGTCTTCTTCCAGAAGATGCATTTTGGGTCTACAAGGAGTGTATTTCTGGAAGGACACCTTTCAACACCCCTGCTTTCCTGATGCGGAGCAGGAATTTGCACATGGTGTAGAGAGCTCCCCCTCCCACCTCTCTGCCCAGCCTTGTTTACCTCACTCTTGCTCCGGCCATGGCTGTGATGGGCCTAGCCAGCTCCCTGTTTTGATGTTCTGTGCGACAGCTCAGGGGTCTTGAGACTCGCGGTCCTCAGCAGGCCTGGGAGCCCAGATTGGACCTTTGGCTCCTGGTGAGAAGCACCTTGCCTGCCAAGATTTGTTGATGCCAGACGATCTCCCCAACATATGAAGGCTTGAAGGACATTGTCATCTCTGCCCCTTGGCCCTCCTTGCTTCTCCCACCACAATAAGACATTGCGGAAGCAAAGTGGCAGCGCGTGCCCCAGGCAGGACAGCTGGCTCTGTCTGGGGAGTTGGCCCTGGGCTCGGTTGTCATGTGGAGACTGCACAGTAAAAGCAACCATTTTTGCCAACGAAAGAATGTGGCCCCCCCACATTTCCTTACCCTGCACTCTAGGGCCAGACCACTCTCTGCATGGACCAGACCATCTTCCCAAACCCATGGTGCTCCTCCCCACCCCATGACACTCAACCTAGGTTCCAAGGTGGGGAGGGATGGATCAGAAGCTATATCGGCACCTCCATATTCCTGACACGGGGTGGAGCGGGGTGAGGCAGAGGGAACAGCCCCCAACACCTGCACTGGGCCATGTATAAGGGAAAGAACACAGGTTGATTGCAGTTGAGTTGTCTGGCTGTCTGTATTTGGATTTGTAACTGTACTTTGCCTGGCGCTGTGCGCAAGGTCTGGAAACTTACTGCTAGTACCTAGAAACATACAAGGCTACCCAGCCAAATCTTAATGTAAAGTAGCTAGAGCCATGGAAGTACAGTATGAATTAAAAGAAAAAAGTATTGAATTACAAACAGTGGTGTGTGTGCTTATTATTTTGACTCGACAGAGCTCATCACCCCAAATGTTTCTGGTCTTCCCAGCAAGTCCTGAAGGCTGAATGAACACAGCCATCCACCTCAGGCCAGGGAGGCAGCCTGATCAAGTGCAATGGATAAGTTTTGGGATCAAACCAAAGTTCAAGTTGCATCATTACCATTTACCAGCATTGTGGCCTAGGGCCCCATCTGCCGCTCCAACCCTCAGCGCTCTAGAGATAATGTAAATGTTAAAAGTACACAGATTTCATGGAATGGTGGCAGGTACTGCACTGAGACAGCTTTCAATTTCAGGCAGTACCACAATAGAAGTTGTGGACTGAATCCTTAGCGTTTCTTGTACTTCTCCCTTTCATGATCTAGCGCTTCCAGGATGATGGACATGGGAGCTATGGCCTTACGTTACCTGAAGTGGCAGAGCTGAGGGCCAGTGTGTGTCCCCTCCTTATGAGGTCTTCCTTGCAGTTAGCTCCTCACCACCTGCCTAGGGAACTTGTTCGACACCCGGCAAGAACCCAAATTTCTTGTATCCTTTGGTATTTGGGTAGGAGAGCAAGAAGGAAGAAAAGCTGGACCGCATGTTCAGCATACATTCTATCCTAGACTATAAAGCATGTTTTCCATTCTGTGGATACATCCACTGCTTGGGTACAGGAAGTGACGCAGTTTGGGGTGCTAGGTAGGAGCCACAGTCTATGTAGCTGATACACTCAGTAAGTACAGCAGCACCACAGCCAGTGGTTTTTAGAGACACTTTATTGACGAACTAGGAATTTACTGAAAAACAGTACATACAGGCATTAGGCTGTTGAGGTCTTGGGTGGTCAGGAACAACGGTTCTACAGTTCAGAAAAAGATTGGCTGTGGAAAATCAAGAAAATGCAATATGAAGGTGACACCGTTTCATCTGTCACAAGACTAAGCATTTGCTAGTTGTGTTTGGTGGCATTTCATTTCCCAAACTTATTAGCACAGAGTCTTCTGAGTCTTCCTTCCCTTTACACACATACTGCCCGAAAGTTGCAGTTCTGGCCCAGCGGTGATGGGGAGAAAGGACAGAGCAATACTGGCTCTGAAGTTCAGCTGGCCTACGAAAAGGTGGGAGTCAAAACTGGTAAACTCGAGTAGGAGAAAGTGGGCTGATCTAAACATTAGGAGTCTACCATGTTAGCTTTTAGAGATGGAGGTTTGAGTGATGCTGTTTTTCAGACCTAAGACCACAGGGCCCTCGTAGGGCCTAGGTGAGCGCTTGACACTGAAAAACATTTGTAGAGTGATCAGACTGATGGGCAAGCACACTGAGTACTATTCAGATAGATACATTTGCAGTGACGGTGAATTCACCGAGTTCGGGGCTTTCTCATTTACAAAAAGGTGAGGGGAAGACTTTTTTCCTCCTGTTAACCTGTTTTTCTATTTTCATGTGAAATTGAGAAACGGGAAAGAAGATATATTTGAAGTATATCTAGCTCTTTTCTTTGGTATTCTTTCTTGTGACAGGGTCTCATTATGTAGTTCAGCCTGGCCTTGAACTCACAATCCTCACAATCCTCCTGCCTCAGCCTCCCAAGTTCTGGGATTATAGGTGTACACCACACCTGGCATAGCTCTTGCTTCTCTTTCTCCCTGCAAAGGTGCAGTCACACAGCCTTTGCCTTCTGATTTAAGTTAAGTGAATCCACAGATTGTAAGAAAGTATAGTGTATGCCTGTGTGATGGAGCCTCACTATCCAGGTTGGTTTCAAATTCATAAGTTCAAGGGGACACCCGCCTTAGTCTCTCATAGCTCAGAACACAGGCACATATCATCATGCCCAGCTCATTTTTTGCTTTTTGATGTAGTAGTTATGAAGGGAGAAGAGGGGATTACAGTCTCCTTTAAAACCATTCCCTACTCTACACATTTCCCAGCATTCCTGCTTTGAAAAATTTCTTTCCTGCTAATATTGCTAGTTTGACATCTAAGGAGCAAACAGACTCAGAAGAAGGTCTAGATGCACAGGTGTTTGAGGATGGAAAAACTGAAGTATAATGCTGTTCAACACACTGTGAAGATGAAGGCTGGGTAGGACAGGCACTGGCTGTCCAAGAATTTCCACACAGGCTTGGGGCTTTCCGACGGGACTGAGCTGACGGTAAAGGTCAAAAGGGCAAGGTGCTTTCAGGACCAACCTAGCTGAGTGATGAAGTTCATAGCTGTTGAGCAGGAAGGTAGGGAAAATCAGACCCAGCATAGCTTGGCCTTTCATGATTGTATTATTGAGCATCAGTCATGGGAAATATACAGCACCAAGACAACAGATCAGGTTTCTAAAGTGATTCTAGCCCTTGAGAACTCTTCCAAGCCCTTTAATAAGCCACAGCACACCACATGAAGCTTCCAGTGCTACACATATTTATCCCGGGTCTTGTACAGGAACATGGGGAGAAACAAGAAGGCGGGGGGATTTTAAGTAAGCTGGTGATCACAGTACCTTGTACATTTAGAGTCATGATCAAGCCTCCCAGCAAGGAGTTTAATTGCATGTCTGGAGAAATAATGACAAGCTAACTAGAAAGAGAACTGGAATGGGATGCAATCAGTGCATCCATCAAGAAGCAAAAGGGTAGGGAAAGAAGAGAGTGGAGTCAGCAGTGAAAGAGGACAGTGAACATCAGGACAAGCAACAGAAGTGAGGAGCTGGATGAGAGTTAAGAAAGGAAGCAGATATGGTCTATGTGGGAAGATAGCTGGGGTAGGAGCTGGAAGACCCAGATTCTAGTGATCAAGTAAGTGACCTGGTAATTTGATAAAACTTCCTACTGTCAGCCTCAGTTTCTTCATTGGGTGTTAGTAACACTCTGCTGGATGTTGTGGAGATGAAATAAAAGAACTGAAATGAAAATCCTTTGCAAGCAATATAGCTGTAATACAAGCATCAGGATGAGAAGAGATGAAAAGTTAGAAAAAGGAAGAGAAGAGAGAAGATAAAACATAAAGGATAAATGACCAGTATCATTCAACTTCATTAAAAATAACTCAGGTTATTATTTTTTATTTTTAAATAACCTGGGTTAGGTTATTTAAAAAGAAAAGAGGGCCGGGGATATAGCTCAGTGGCACAAGCCCCTGCCTGGCAAGTGCAAGGTCCTGAGTTCAATTCCCAGTACCAAAAAATAAATAAATCAATAAAAAGAAAAGAAAAGAAAAAAGCAGCCATGCATATTGCACGATTACATGTTAGATGCACGATCCACTTGCTACTTCTGCAAGCTCTGGCGTCGACCAGCCTTGTGGCTGGGTAAGCCTCCTTCAAATTCAGGCCTATGTTTCTTAAAGTCAGAAAATGTCCCATATTATCTCCCCTACTTTAGAAGGACAGTGTGGAAAATTCCCAGTAAAAGGCTCTTGAATTTATTGTGAATATTTTTTTCAAGAAAATGGGATTCTTTAAAATGTGCTAAGGATCTTGTTTCAAACATGTCCCCAGGGATGGAAGAGATCAAGAAAAATGAACCTGCCAGGAGAAGTCCAAAGCCAACAGAGAATGTGCTCCCCTATACATTTCCCCAGATCTGAGGAATATTCCTTTTATTGAATCCTAGTCACTTTTTATCTTCCTGCTTACCTTCACTTATCACTAGGTGCTAAAGGATATTGTGCCTGGGCCAGTCATTAATTAAAATGAAAATTAAATGTTGACTAAATTTTTTTCATTGTTTCTCTGCTCTCTCTAGACATAGGAGAAAAAAACCTGAACATTACAGATTCATAGGTCAGGTATTTGCAAGCCAATATCTTTCTCCCTTCACTCTGCTCACCATCTATTTCAGACTCAAAAACCTTTCCATCTGTCTGTCTTTTCTACTGAGGATTCACCCTGGGGCCTTCACACTGAGCAATATCCCTAGCCTTTTTATTTTATTTTGTTTTAGAGATAGGTTGTCTGTGAGTTGCTAAATTACCCAGGTTGGGCTCAAACTCATGATCCTCTTGCTTCAGCCTCTCAGGTTGTAAGCATGTGCCAACATGCCCAGCTTAATAGGCATTTCTCTTAGTTTGAATGGCATTCTCAGATGAAACCTCATTCTGAAAGATATTTTAGGTTCACAGATTTTTACAGGAAATTCTTCACGTCCAACTCATGTCCTCCTCTCTGCTTTCCTGGCTGGTTTCCAGTTTCTGGGATCTGTCATAGCTAACGCCAGCTGGATCATCCATCCCAAATTTGTGCTTCTGCAAGAGGTGTGGCCACCGCCAAGCCCAATGTCCAACTCTTTTCAAAAACAAAACTGTCTATCCCAAGAGTAAACTGGGAAGCATCCAAAGCTTACTGCTGCTCTTTAAGTTTGTTCTCTTAAGTTTCTCACCCAGTGGAGCCCTGTGTGAATCTCAGATGCCTCCTGTAAAATGAGGAATAATACTGATCCATGGAGATTTTGAGAGGAAGAACTTAGGAATTCCAGCCCCAATCCACAGGTGATATGCTCTCTAGGAAGGGCATATATACATCATCCCAATAAGATCAGGAACATGATATATGGCTTTCTGGAGCCATTTAAACCATCCTTGGTCCTTCCCAAGTCTCTTGCCCTTGGCTTCTCAGGACTGTGTCCAGTGCAGTCTTTAGAGACCTATGGGGATCTAGTCCTGAGGACTAAGCTCCAGAGAGCATTTTAGTCCATGCTTAAGGATCTTTGTCATTGGAGAATCTAGAGAAACATGCTTCTCTCTGGCGCTGTAGCCAAGTGGGCCACAAACTTCAAAAAACTGACTTCAGAGAGTTCAAGTACATGACATGCTTTTGGTTTGACCCAACTAGTTGCTTGTTCCTACTGGTAAGACATCCTCTTGCAACAATGGAGAATGAGCCAGTTCCAGAGAGCTAGGGGCAAGGACAGGTGATACTTCCAGCACTTGTACAAAGTTATTTGGAGTACAGGGGAGAAATCCAGTAGGCATGGGAGCTGCTTGCTTGAAATCCAGGGCAGTGTGAGGTTGAATCTGTGTAGAAATGTTGGCTCCTTAGCTCTGGCAAAGTCTTATGGTGTGTGGAGTTCTGACAGAGTTAGGAAGTCAGCAGGGAAAGCTCAGAGTTGGGTGGATGAATGACGAATGAGCAGAAAGATGGATGCAGGAAGGAAGTGACGGGGCCACTGGGGCACTCTCCTGATGCTGCAGACATCACTGAACTTGGGATATCCAGTCCCTCAGTGTTCAGGCCACCTACCAATGAAAACAGCTCACTGAGAAATCCAGCCCCGCCCCTTCTGAAGACACTTATCAGAAGTGGGAATGAGAGCATTATTACACCCTTGCTACCGTGGGCAATGAGTTTAGGTTGCCACTACACTCCAGCCAAAGCTGTTCACGTTCTGGCAGAGCTTGGCAACATACAGAACTTTGTAACTTAGGCATCAATTTAAAGTATGCACTCTGATGGTGGGCACACTGGGAAGAATAGAAATTGATCTAAGGGACGGAATTTAAATTCACTTCAGTTGCAGATAACAAAGTCACTCTTGCAGCCTGCCATCCACATCCTTCTTGCCCTCCCAAGGCCTTATACATCACCTCAAGTCACACCGCTTCATTCTTCCACGGGTACTGCAGAGTTCTCCTTGTTCTCTGATGGGATGGCAAGGTAGTCAGACCTGCACACAACACAGGAGGGGAACAGAGCCAGCGCTTCAGTACCCAGCAGAAGGAACACAAAGAAAGAAGGAGCAGAGCATGGGGACAAGGCTGTCTACAGAACAGCCCTCTATTTCCTTCTGGCTGTGGATCCCAAGACAAACATAAGACAGCCTTTTCAGAGGGTTAGAATAATGCGTGTCTCCCGTATCTGTATACGAACAAAATGCAGCTCATGAGTCTTCTCATTTACCTATATCGTCTTCAGCACTGCTTACAAGTGTCAGATTAAAATATGAGCCAAATATTGAAACTATATTTTGTAATTGTTTAATTTTTATTTTCTAATTTTGATGGTGAGCATCTTTTCTTTTCTCTTTCTCTCTTTTTTTTTTTTTTTTTTGTGCTGGGAATTGAACTCAGGACCTTGAGCTTGCCAGGCAGGTGCTTGTGCCACTGAGCTATATCCCCGGCCCAGTGGTAAGCATGTTTTCATAGGTTTACAGGCTATTGGTTTCTCTTTCTGTAATTTGACTACATGATTTTCCAGTTTGTCTTCTGCAGTATTTGTCATTTTGTCATTGATTTTTCTTTGATAGTTTTGAAAATTTCTTTCAGTCTGTTGGTTATTAATTTTTGCCTGCTGTCTTATAATGAACAATTGACTTTTGCATGTAATGTAAGGAAAGTGAGCATTTTCCCTTCTTGAATTGTACTTTTTATAATTCACAAATTCTCTCTAGTCCCAGATAATGATATTCTCTTACATTCCTTTAATATAATTTTTGAGTTTTACATTTTTCTTTGTCTTTAAATTTACTCACAATTTATTTTTGCTTAGTGCAAGAGATGAGGAATCTTGTTTTGTTTCCCTATACAGAAAAGAAATTTTCCTTCCAGTCCACTTAATGGGCAGTTAGCTCTTTCTTAATGATGGTAATGCCACCACTTTCACGTATTAGGTTTTCTTACACACATTAACCTGTCATGGGGTGCTCCATTTTGAGGTCTTGAGGTCTTTATCTTGGATAACGCCAACCTTACTGACCACCTTCCTAACTCATTGCTATTTCTTTGAGATAGCAAAGTGAAGGATTGGCAAAGTATGGCCTGTAAGCTAAGAATGATTGTTACATTTTTATTGGTACCAGGAATCGAACTCACAGCCTCGCGCTTGCCAGGCAGGCGCCATGCCACTGAGCTATATCCCCAGCCTGTTACGTCTTTAAAGCATTGCAAACATGCAAAATAAAAGAACAATCTGGACAGAGACTCCAGGGAGCTTTGCAAAACCTAAAATATTTACTACCTGGTGGTCTTTTGGGTCCTCTATGTGATCTTTAAGATCAGTTTATCAGACTGGGCATGAGCATACATGATGACACATGCCTGTAATTCTAGCACTCTGGGAGGCTGAGGCAGGAAGATTGGAAATTCAAGCACAGCTTGGGCAACATAGTGAGACCCCCATCTCAAAATTAAAAAAACAAAACAAAAACTGTGTGAGGGCCTTATAGTAATCCCCACTGCTGCAAAAAAGAAAAAGTCATCAGTTTATCAAATGTCTGAAAAAAATGGGCATTTTGATTGAAATTTCATTGAATTTGAAGATTAACTTAAGGGAGCATTGTTTAGAATAGTGAGACATTATTCTTCATCTATTTGCTTTTTCTTATGCCTTTCTGTAAAAAGTTTTAGAATTCTCTCCTTCGAGGACTTGTACATTTTTGTCAGATTTATTCCAAGGGACTGGAAAGCATTTATTGCTGTTGTATTAATATTTTAAAATATTTAAATGTTTCTAAAATTAATATTTTGAAATATTTAAATATGTTTCTAAATCTATGTGATTTTTTACAGTCCTGTGTTGCTCTGTAACAGGGACACGTTCTGAGAAATGTATCATTAGGCAATTTTACCACTGTATGATCATCACAGAATATAATTTCACAAATTAAAAGACAGCAATGGATCTGACATTACTCAGTGTTATGATTTTTTTTTGTTTGTTTTTTTCTTTTTCTGGTACCAGGGATTGAACTCACGACCTCGTACTTGCCAGGCAGGCGCTGTGCCACTGAGCTAAATCCCCAGCCCCTCAATGTTATGATTTTATGGGACCTCCCTGGAACATGTGGTGTGCCACTGACCAAAACACATGTGGCACGTATGACTGAAGTTTGATTTGTATCAGCAATCTTATGGAATATTCTTACTAGTTCTAATAGTTTACGTATAGATAGTCTTGTTTGTTCTGTGTGACCAATTACATTTTAAGTGTAACTGATGATAATTTAGTTTCTTCTTTTTCAAATATTCTTTTTTTTTTGTACTTATTTGGTGTACTACCTAGGACCTCCAAAATAATACTGCATAGAAACAGGGAGAGATGATATCCTTGATATATTTCTAATATTACAGGCCTTTCTTCTAACTGTAGGCTATCTTAGTAGCTGCCTTCTATAAGTTTGAAGGTAGCTGGTGTTTGGGTATAGGTTTATGTATCTACTCAGGACATATAGATGCTCCTTGACTTATGGTGGGGTTACATTGTCATTGAAACTATCATAATACATTTAATAAGCCTAACCTACCAAACACCATCGCTTAGCAACACAGCATACTGTGGGGAGATCTCAGGGCTGACTGGATGCGGAGGCCCACTGTGCCTGCCCAGCACTGGGAGAGAGAATACCGCATATTGTAGTTTGGAGGAAAAAAAAAATCAAAGTTCAAAATCTGAAATAGTTTCTACTGAATGTATACAGTAGGGCCCCAGCTTACGAACATTCAAGTTGCAAACTTTCACAGATACGAATGGACCTGGCATTATGAACACTCCTAGATGCGAGCAAATTGTGGAAATAGCTCACGTGTCTGCGGACATTGTCACAGTTGTGCTGCTGCGGGCTTACTGTACCGTGTGTAATGTACAGTGGGACAGTGCTCAGTCACAGGATGTCTGGAAGTGCGGGGAAAAGGAGCGCTGATGTGGACGGGACTGCTAGGAAGCACAAAGCAATAACCATGGAAACAAAAGTGAAAATAATGGAGAGATTGGACTGAGGTTAATAATTCTCTTCTGATCAGTCCACTCCATGCAACTCCCTAGATGCCAGCTGTTGTATTGTGCTGTGCCACCATTTTAAGGTAACTGTAAAAGCAAAAATAGTTTATTTATAGTATTTTTCCATGTGTTTTTGGCTTTTTATGCTTTACACTGTATATTTGTGTCAAAGGTATATGAATCTCACTTTGTTGAACTTATGAATGTTCTCCCCAAACAGAACTCGTTCATAAGTTCATAAGTTGACTGACTGTACTGGTTTCATACCCTCAGTGAGCAAAAAGCAAATGAGGCAAGTCATCATAAGTAGGGAACCATAGGCATTTGCTTCTTGAATTCTTGGGTCATCCCTTTCCCCAGGCGCTCTGTGAGCACAAGTATTGTCTCTCCCAGGTTCTCTGTTCTAATGGGCCATATCATTTTCTCCCTTCCTGTTTCTTTGTTATACTTTATCTTTTATATCTCTTGCTTCATTCTGTGTAATTTCCTCACATTTACATTCTGCTTACCAGTATTTAATCTTTTGTTAAACCAATCCATTGAGCTATTTTATTGAATATATTTTTCATTTCCAGAAATTTTTTTTGCTAGTTAGATCTACCTGTTCTTTTCTCTCAGCACTTACTCTATTTTTGTGCATTGGATTACTTTTTATTGCTTTAATTGTGTTTAAACAAGTGTTTTTTCTATACTTTATGAGGTCTTCTGTGTGTTGGAAACGCCTGGGACTTAATCCTGCATTTGTTACTTTTCTTGCTCATGATGGGTTGTTTTCTGCAGTGGCTTTTTTTTTTTCTTTTTTCTTTTTTTTTTTT